GCAGAATACGACCGATGGCGCGCAGTCGAAGGTGCTGTGGCGAAGCATCTCCGTGGTCATGGCCGGCTTCGAGCTCAGAACCGCGTTGTTGTACTGTGTCTCGACGTTAGGAGTTGCCGGCTCCGTGCTGTGCATCTACACGATGAGCCACCTGTCGTTCAAGAAACACAGCATCTTCCGACTGCTGCTGACCACCATGTGTTATGCCGACCTGTGCTTCAACGTCCTCAATTTCTCGGCAGTCTACTTCGAGACGAATTCGAGCGTCTGCGTCACCGCCAACTCGTCGTCTTCGCTGCTGCCGCTGCATTTCCTGCGGTTCGTCAAAGGCCTTATGCAGTCCATCTCACTGTTTTGCGACCTGTCAACCGCTCTGCTGGCACTCGAGCGCTACCTGTCCGTCTGTAAGCCGATCTTCTGGCACACGGTCAGCAGAATGACGAAGTTGCGTATGTGCTACGTGAGTCTGACGCTGGCGGCTCTGGCCAGCGGCATGCGCTTTACGTGCAGCTTCACGAACGACGTGCTGTACGTGTACAGAAACAACTCGCCGGTCTACAACCGAATGCTGAAAAATCGCTTCTACTACAGTAGTACGTTCGAGGTGTTAAACCTCATCACCGGCATCGTTATTCCGTGCATTCTGATCGCCGTCATATTTTTCCTGACGATCAGCGTGATCCTGGGTATCAAACGACGTGCCCAAATGCACCAGTTCAGTCTCCAGTGGTCCAGTGTTTCGGCAAAGCTGCTGTTCTTCGTGATCGGTCGAAAACTGTCCACGCTGACCACCAACACTTTGCACGAGCGCAAACTGAAGGAGGCGCGCAATCGAGCGATGTTGATCGTCGTGACGCTGGTCGGCTTCCTTCTAGACCAATTTTCGTACATATTTTCGGCCACCTGCTACTTGGTCGAAATTAACGATTTCCGCTTCCCCGAGGACCGCCTATTGCCAATCACGTTTGGCAACGTTTACAGACTGACGGTAGTCATGGTCGTGAAAATCGTGTGCGCCGTCATGGAGTCGTTGGCGCACACGATTAACTTCTACGCCTACGTGCTGTTCAACGCCACGTTCAGGGAGAGGTTCAAGGAGAAAATAGCTTGCAACGACAGGAGGCACGACAGCGTCTGAGAACAAACGCTGGACAGAGGCGCAATACTTTACATCATGTGTTGGGGCCCTGGCCGAAATTGTTCCGCATTGAACTTCGACATCTACGTTTTCTGTTATGCAATAAATCAACTTCATAGTCATAGCTCTACAACAGTGAGAAGAAGAAAATCTTGACGACAAATCTAAAATTAAAGTACATGCAATCTTACGGAGGAATTTCGAAAAGCCGAACGACGCACTTGTTTGAACCTAAATTCATAATTTACTTAATTAAACACAATTTTTCTGCATGTTCACTTTATAGTTTAGATGAATGAAAACAGATTGATGAGTGGACGACCACTGTCAAATCCGGAAAAATATCCTCAACGATGCTGCATTTCATGCGGCAATCCACTGCATTGTGTATTTATCCCGCAATTAGAATGGCGACCCATATTGGAACACAGTTTATGACTTGATCTCAGAAGTATGCGGTTGTGACATATGGTACAATAGCAAACATTCATTGTACCATAAAACAATAACTAAATGAAACTCAAGGCTAAGTACTAGAGTACAACAATGGTTACCAAGTTCAGTTAATCTTGACATTTCTTTCCGTCTGTTCATTTTGTTGCTGGTTTATTTCGCTATAACCGCCCCCATTATTTTTCTTATTCGCCAATTTCGCATTAACTGAGTTATCTTGCCGGATCCGGACTATATGCCGTGTTGTCGTCACCTATTCTGGGCTCTCGTTCAGATGCCATGTTGTAAGTATCGCTACAGTTACAGTTGAGACGACACGCTACCGTAAGGTAAATTTTTGTGGTAGGATTATTTTCTTAAATAATATAACCCCTAGTTTCTGCGGGAAATCACATATTGTCCTGATACCATAGTTATTCATAAACCGTCGTGTATTTTCACTCAGATTCCTTTGGCAGGGAATCACCAATAGTGGAATACAATTAAAGTTATCCGAAGGGTAAGCAGATAGATTATTACTGATTCCGTCTATCGTCCGCTTCGCCTTTGAGAACTGGCCCAGGATGAAAGGTTCCGGATAGCTGTTTTCTCTTAGCTTGTTTGAGAAATTTGTTGTTCGACTCGCATAAAGTGGCGGGTTTCCGAATTATGAACAAATATCAGAATTTACACAGGATCAGCTTTCATTTGGTGTTGGGATTGAAGAGATGAAGTATCTTGTTAAGTTTCTTGCAGAAGTCTTTCTTAAACACACTTTTCTGTGAACTAGCTTATGGACATCGTCAAATTATTTATGGATACCTGCGGATTTGGCTCAACAAAGTTAGGCAAACTGTTGAGCATCTAAGACCAATGGCGTTTGAGTGTGCAGGTCCTTTGGTCAAACGCTTCTTGCTGAAATCGAAACAATAATATTTGTTCTTTTTTCTATACAGCTTCCTCTTGACTGAAACGCCATATGTCTTTTGAAAACGATCGTTGGGTAAAGAATCTTTCTTTCCTGGGTTGCCTGGTGTGGTCGAGTCCAATCGCAGATTTTTGCCTCTTCTGAAGATGATCACTTCCGCGTGTTTTTTTGTTAGACCGTCACTGAGGTTTATCAATTGTGCGTTTATCGACCACATGCTTTTTTCATGTGTTCATTCGATGGCCGTGTAGACAGCGCTGAGATCGTGCTCTCTCTGTGGTCCATTTGATTACCTTCAGCAGAAGAAAAGTCCAGGCTAAATTAGACCTAGAAGGTCAGTACACTGCCAACACATGTTTGACTCCGGTCATGATGATCAGACCATACAGCACATCATTAGCAAACGCCCGCTGCGAAAGTTCGACAGCAGCATAACTGATGTCCAAGATGCTATTGCAATGGTCATTCACTGAAAATGAACATTCAAATACAATTATCTAGGTAACTCCCCCCC